TCATCCACGTGGGACCCTACTAGAAATGCACCCACTCGATGATGATTCCCTCTTTGCAGTTACATTTTGAGACCTATCAGTTAGCCAGTTTTGAATCCATTTAATGTGTGCCGTAGTAATTTTGTATCATTCTATTTTTTCAATCCAAGTGTCGTGCTGTACCAAGTGAAATGCCTGAGAGAATCCTAAAATATTACACTAATACTATTGCCATTATCAACCAAAATTGTAATCTAATAAAAAAAAGATATCAAGTTAGTTTTACAGGGTCTGTTTTCCATAAACTCATGTTGATTGGCATTAATTGTATAACCCTACTTTAATTTTTTTATTATTCAAGTCCCATATCAGCTGCTCCATTATCAATGTCAGACTGACAGGCCTATAACTACCCAGGTTGTCCCATCTACCCTTTTAAAATATTGGCACAACATTAACTTTCTTCCATTCTTTTGAAATTTCCTCAGTTTTCCAAGACTTATTGGAAAAAAAATCCACATTCACAGTCTAGTGAGCTCCTCAGCCAGCTTTAAAAAAAACCAAACTCTTGGATGCAAGTTATCTTGACCTGCTGATTTAAAAAGTGCCTAACTTCAGTAGTTGCTGTTTAACATCCTCCTGAGACACTAGAGCAGGGGTGGCCAACCTGAGCCTGAGAAGGAGCCAGAATTTACCAATGTACATTGCCAAAGAGCCACAGTAATAGGTCAGCAGCCCCCCACTAGCTCCCCCGACTCCAACCTGCAGCGCCTCCTGCCCGCCGGCAGCCCCGCCAATCAGGGCCTCCCGCCCACCGCGATCAGCTGTTACGTGGTGCGCAGGAGGGTCTGGTGGGGAGGGGGGGGAAGAGCAAGGGCATGGCAGGCTCGGGGGAAAGGGTGGAGTGGGGGCAGGGCCTGGGGCAGAGCAGGGGGTTGAGCACTCCCCGGCACATTGGAAAGTTAGCATCTACAGCTCTAGCCCCGGAGTCAGCGCCTATGCAAGGAGCCGCATATTAACCTATGAAGAGCCGCATGCGACTCCGGAGCCACAGGTTGGCCACCTCGGCGCTAGTGGAATGGAAAGTGTCATCATGATGTGATATGACTACATCATTTCCTGCCCCTCCCCCCCGATACGGAACAGAAATATTGATTAAACACTTCTGCCTCTCCTGCATTATTGATAATTCCACCATTTCCACCTAGCTATGGACCAGGACCATGATTAGGATTCTTTTTGTTCCTAATATACTTAGACTCCTTGTTATTATCCTTAACTCCACTGGCCATAGATTACTTCTTGTATCCCTTTGCTTCCCTTATCACTTCCCCTCTAACCCAGGTCAGTTTTTTAACCACTACGGCCTTCTTTCTTGATTGTGGCCTTTATGAACACCGATGGCAAAGTATACTTGGTGCTTCTCTACTCAGGGCCATAAGCTGACTTGAGAGGGAGTCCTACATGCAGCCCATAGGAAATAAATGTGTTTACTTTTTTAAGGGCCTCCTAAATGCACTACAGTATCTGCAGGTCCTTTCGCTTCGGTGGAGCTTTGTGCACAAGCTAGTGTGATTGCAGAGAAGTGTGTGCATGTGTGCACCAAGCCACACCCTCCAGGGTACACAGGTGCTTTTGGGGGGCCATTAGAGAAGTGTGCCCCACCATAGAGGTTTCTGTAGTGGCGGCATTTGGACTTTACAACACAAGCAACACCAGTGAAGTGCAAAATAATCAAGGACCTTTAAAAGAAAGTCAATGGCCAAAGGCTGGTTCCGGTTACATTAGTATAAATCCAAAGTCTTCAATGGAGTTGCTCCAAATTTGCACTGGTGAAAGCAATATCAGCATCTAGCCCCGACTGTTTAATTGTAATAGTTATTTATGAAAAGCCCAAAATAACCCCATGCTCTGCTCATCGGAGAGGTGCCCCTTTGCTTGCGTTCTCGAATGGGTTATTTGGGAGACGATTTATTCTCAAGTTTGCAAGAGCCACATCAGTCTTGAGAACAGCAGGATACGCAGTATATTGCCTGTTACCCTCAGTAAAGCCAACGCACCTTTCCAGCCAAATACAACATGTGCGTATCAGCATCGTAGAAAGGAAACAAGAGCCCCGACAGCCCATCGATCTCCTCCTCTATGAGGGGCATGGCCAGGTCTTCCTGAACAAAGAGAACATGGCTTTATGAGTCAGCAAGGGTTAGAGGTTGCATGGAACATGAAAGCGAAACCCACGAAGGAGCGACAGGGGCAGCAGGGTGAGGGACGGGTTTTGTTCCAGAAAAGCTGAAGCAAACCTGCTGTCCCTCCCAAAGGTTGCCACGGGATTTCCATGTCCCACAAGCCAGAGGTGGGAGGGAGAGAGGGCTAGCAGATCTGGTCATGTACACACAGAATAAGGAGGATGTCCACTTCAGGTCACCTCTTTGCAGGGCACTCCGTGGGTCACCCTGTAGGGTTGAGGGGGTTCTGGGGCTCTCAGGGTAAGGGTTGTAATGGGGTCCAGTCACACCCCTCCCCCCCGCCCCAGAGCCATTTCTGTGTGGCTGCATTTCAGGGAGGCTGGAGGCCTGTGTATACTTTAAGGAGCAATTTGGGGCAGATTGTGCCTGGGCCGAAAGCACGGAGCGAGGGGGGGGTGAGGAAGGAAAACAGAGGAGGGTGCAAGGAGCTCTCTCTTCTGCCCCCACTCCCCCACGGACCAGGGAGAGCCACAGTCCAATGGGCTCACCAAGCCACACCCTCCAGGGAGCACACTGCCTACAGGGAGAAGGGCCGGATGCAGTGGGGGGAAGAATGCTGCATCCTCTCTGGAGCTTTGACTCCCTGGCTGCTGTGCCCAATGCCGCCATCTGGGCTATGACGCTCTATTGAGCTGAGATGCCTTCCGGAGAGAAGCCAGAGAACTGCTCAGCACCTTTGTTTGGTTTTTAAAACACAAACCCCACCAGACTCTAGGAAGATCTGATGATGGTGAGGCTGTCCGGCTGCCTGGGGAGAGTGTACTGGCCTCTTGGATTTAGAGGGGAACCCAGACATCCTTGTTTTCAGTTTTATATGTCACAAATGGATCTGGTTTCTCCCTTTGTCCTTGAGTTTATACAAGATTCGTCCCGAACAGATCAGCCGCCCACCCACATACTTCTGTTTCCTCACCCTGCCCCTGTAGCAGTCGCAGCCAAGTAGGTGTCTGTGGTGTTCACTGGCAGGCTGACAGATAGGACTGGACTAATCGGTCATCTCCCCCCAGCCCAGCCTGAGTGAGGGGACATCAGCTTTCCACTATCTGCAGCTTCTACCACCCGAGTGAACAGGGCCAGGCATGTCTGCAGCCTGAAACACCGTTGGTCCAGAATATCATGCATGGAGTCAGAGGGGAGGGTACCAATGCTTGCTGGGATGAATCTGGTAAATTTGCATCTGCTTTAATTAATCTTGTGAATTCAGATTCCCCAACGTGTCATGTCTAGTCAGATCTCCATAGCAACCAGCAGAGTTTTTAAAAGTTACCTAAAGACCTTTGTAGAATCTGCTAGGAAACAGGAAGGAATAAAGAATCTGCGGTTTATGTATCTGCTGCTCTCCCTGTATTACGGTACAATACAATACAAGAGGCTGGGCTACTCAAAGAGACGTGAAGGACCTGGGCCCCCAGCTTCACTGGAAAGTCCATGAGAGTTGAGTTAGGTCTCCGTGGGAGTTGGGTGCCTATGCACCTGTCAGCCGCTTTGACAGCCCCGCATGACTGATCCACAGCACGTCCTAGCCGTGCTTCTCAGAGCACTTCCCAAACGCGAGTGAATGTAGTTGCATAAAACTGTTGCAAGCTAGGCAGGTTTTCTCAACATGCAGATGGATAAACTGTGGCATGGCGTGAGTAGGTGCCTTGCCTATAATCACCCTACGCTTGCAGCGGAGCAGGGGCTAGACCCCCGGTCTCTGGACTCGTCAGACATAGGGTCTATCTACGCTATGATCACAGGTGATATTACAGCGGAGCTAGCTTTAATCTGGCTAGAGTGGGTCCTGGAGCCGGGAAACTGCGACACACGGGCTGTTCCTACACACTGCAGGGGGGCTTGCGCAGCCCGCACAGAAGCATGCACTAGCGCAGCTTCCCTGCTTTAGGACCCAAGCGAGCTAGATCAAAGCTCGCTTGGGTAGGTCTACTCGTACCATACTCACACTGCTAGAGCAGAACCCAGATCACCTATCTCTTAGACCTCTCTTTGAACCCACCAATCATGCTCCCTTCTTGGGAAGGAACGGCTTCCAGCGATCTATTTGCTGACCTGGTCCCAGAGCGCAATCTGCCTCGTATTCCACCTTGAGACTCCAGTCGTTAGAAGTCGCTTCACGTTACCTAGAAAGACCACCCGGTTCACACGATGGTTCTTACAGCTGGCTTCCTGGAAGAAGACATTGTCTGTGCTACATGCAGTGAACAGCTATACATTTCAGATGTCTTCCTACGCATGGTGCTTAGTATAGATCAGTGAAAATGCCAGCTGTAGAATTTCAAGGAGAGCGATACTCAAGGGAGAATTCTCCCCCATGTTAGGAACTGAGTTCCTGGTGTCTCTGCTCCCATATCCCACAGGTAGGTCCCTTCCTCCTCGTATAATCTCTACACTGTCTATGGGGAAAGGCTCCATTCTTGTCCCAATAGAACCACTTCATAGCAAGCTGGGCTAACCCGGCTTTCCACCTCCACCGTTCCTCTTACTCCTTTACTGCAAAATGCAACTTTCATATTAACCAGCTATGGCTCAGACTGCAACGGTGAAAATGTGGGTTCATGCTCTCTGGAATGGAAAGGCAAAATGCTGTTTTGTAAAAATAAAACTGAGCCTTCCCTGAGCTTTTTAGAATAATCCACAATTGACAAGGACAATTAAGCTTTTCTTCCAAAACTTGCTCTGTGGCTTCCCAGAACACTCTACTATTTCCCAGAAACCTTTGATTAATGAAAGATTAGAAGCCCTGTATCTCTGACTAGGATAGTGCTGAATCCTTTCTATTGTAATGATAAGAAACAGCAACATTCTCTGAATGCGGAGTGCTAGATTCAGAGGCTGACATTTGTGACACGTTGTTGCGTCCTGAATATCAGACGTATTTTGTGACAATTCAATATTGTACAAGGAGTGTTTACCTTAGTGTACATTAGGCTTAAAGGGCGACTTCCCCTTGCCCCAACTCTGCCCCGGTTGCACATTAGGGGAGGAATGCACTCAAATGGGAAATCCCAAATAAAGCCACTCTTTAAAGCCTAGGGTCAAATTTGTATTTGTCAAAAATAATGGATTTACTTCTTGTGACTGGTGCTTAGGACTGACTCTTGAGAAATCAGCTCTTCACCTGAAGGACTTTGCCCGAACGCGGCTCAATGACTCGCAGCTTCTTGTCTTTGCAGGTGGTTGACAGCAGGCTGCCGTCGGTATTGAAGGACATGCAGAGAATGACATCTGTATGACAATCTATCATCTTCACGGGCTCTCCAATGTCCAGGTTCCAGATCAGAACCTGAGGGAAATGGGGCAGAATTAAGTTAGCACTGCTGCTGCTGCTAGTTGGGGGTGGGGGGGGAAACACAGTCATAACTCCAGGGTACAGACTGCCTGGAAACGCACAGGCATGCAAGGCCACGTTTTCCAAACTTCTGGCTCGGTATTTTAAATGTACTGCTAATTTGGGGCCAAATTCCAGTCCTCCCACTCATATGTCATCTCATTTCACAAGTGGTCCCTTTGCTTTAACGTGAATAAAGTTATCAGAACCCGGCACTTGAGAATCCAGCCTCTCTCTTGCACTCCCTGCAGTTATTGCCACCGGCAGGACAGACTGTGGTAACTGTACCCACTTCTTATTGCCATCTTTTGTATTACATGGAGGAAGATAAAGAATCTCTCTGGCTCAAGCCTACTCTCAGAAATGACTGAAAATGGCACCATGGGGTTCCATGTTCATTATCGCATTGAATTTCATGCCAACCTTGGCTCAGGTTATAAATAAAAAAAACCCTGTGATTCTTCTAACGGCCAGCCCTGCAAACTCAACCTGGGTTCCGTTGTTATGACGTATGACCGCCAGGAGTAAGCGTTTCACAGTCCAAATGATGCCCCTCGTTACATCTTATCTATGAAGTGAGCAAAACGGCTATGGAGTCAGGGAGACAATACACATGGAACCCCTTGAGGCCATTTTTACAGTTGCTTTTCAGAGTAGATCCACACCTTAGTGTTAGAAACAGCAATGATCTGTGACGACTGGACAACATAGAAGAATCCTTTCAAAAATCCATTAGAGAAAAAACCTGAAGATTTCAGTGCTAGCTATACTCTTGTACTTTTGTTTTACATAACCATTATGAAGCAACCAAGTCATTAAGACTAGGTAGGACACAACATGAATTGGGGAAGCTATAATCTGACACAGACATGGCATGGAATATTATTTAGACAGTAGGGAATTCCCACAAAGGTTAAAGGCATACGCAGAGAAATGCTCTAAACCATCAGCAAAAGAACCTCTGATCTCAAATGGATTTCCATTTCGTGTACTGACACTTCTAAAGCAGAGAGAGAGAGAGATCGGAAGAAATATCTGAGGATAAAGTGTAACTATTACAGAAACTGCTGCCAAACAAACAGTGAGGCCATCCGCGATTTTACCCTTTAAAGCCACACATGGCCTTAATAAATGCTAGTCTCCAACTACAGCTGAGGATTTAGTAGAAATCCTCCAGAATAGTTCACCTTATAGTCGTATCCTGCACTGAACAAGATATTGTTGGTGGTCGGGTGCCACTCAACGAGGCCGACCCGTCGGCTGTGGCCATAGAGCTCTAGAACAGCTTCTGTCATGTTCCGCTTCAAGCCGCCCTCTGGGATTTCCCATATCCGGACCTGAAAGGACAGGATGAGCAAAAGTTATTGGGAGGAAAAACCTTTGTCCTTATTTTAGAGGCTTATAAGGATCTTGTTCTCTCCACTTGGCGTGCGGGGGAATCTTCATTGACTAAATTCCATCTGTGGTTCCTTCATCAACTTGGTCTCCAGATGCCAGCAGCGAATTAAAAATAGACCTTGAATGTGCCCAATGGCAACACTTTTGTGTCATCCCTTCATGCCCATGTGCATGTTTGTTCCCTCCTTCCTTCTCCTTCATCCCCTCTCCACTCCCCAATAGTTAGCTGGCCCTGGGAAGCAGCCAATACCGGATTCTCTTCAATGAAGACCACATGCAAGATCTAGTCCTGTAAATAATGGGAGATACCACAGGAATCCCACTGAATGCAATGGGGCTATCAAAGAGCGAATAGCACAACACTTTCAGAGCTCTGCCCATAATCGACAGCGAAAGACAAGCCAGTTCTTGACAGAGGCAGGAAACAGAATACTCTAAAAACAGCAGTTAAAAAACACACCATCCCCCTATCTGCACAAACACATGTAACAGGAAGGAAAAATCAATCCAATTGGTCTCAGATGACCTTCTTAAGGAATCAGTAGTAAGGACTTCAAGATCCTTAGAAAAGATACTAATTACTTAATAGAAATAACTGAATATACTCCTCTGTTAAAGTCATGCTAGCAGTGCACGATAAAGGACAGCGTATTAGCAGGCATCAGACATGCTGGTAGCAAAGTAGATCAGGTTGTTATGTGATGTACTTGTTTTGCCACCTGACATTTGTAACTCAGTTTTAACTAAAAGGGACCCTTGTGGTTCACACTGTTTAGGTTCAAATATATGAGCCACCCCCAATACTGGTCTGATATAACAGAGTGGCATCCTTGACCCGAAGTTCTATAGTTCATTAAATCCGCCTTTCAATCACTAAACTTAACAAAATGAATGATTGTTTCTTTACGTGATCATATCAAAATATAAAGGCAGGCGCTGGCTCGGCTGCCTCTAACCTTGTGAAGAGGAGTAAACGTACACGCACTAGAACAAATTCACCCCGGCTGTAACACCGCAGACTTCAGCGGAGCTGGAGGGGCGAGTTTGGCCCACTAAACTTCTGTACCAAAGGAAAACCATGTGGAGAGTTTATTACATCGTAGCGGGATTCGTGTTTCTGTGGATGTCATTAAAAAGGGGCCACCAATGGCTGTGAAAGTGCCATTGACTTTAATGGCAGTAGAGTTAGGCCAGCGCTCAGTGCTTTTGACAATCTCGCCCCGCATTGGCCTCCATAGCGCTTGGGGATAAAATCCCCGTTAGGAGTGTCTGCGGGATAAAAGAGACAATGCATAGAGAGAGAATAGGTGATCCGAAGGCTTCTCCCTTCCTCCTCAGTTAAAATGGCATAGAAGTTCTTTCCTCTCTATTGCAGGTCACTGGTGTGAATCCGACCCTTGTATCAGCCTCTTGGTTTTTAGGTTCTCTAGTTCACTTGAAAGTCTTTTGATTTCTCTTTTTTATAGAGCATTGCCATTGTCTGGGGTGCTCAGGGGACAACTTATCAAGATTTGCAGACCTAGATCATTTGGTTAATTCCGACTGGCATGTTCAGCGCCATCATGCCATCTACCCACCTTGCATGGATAGCTGAAGGC